TTAAACGGGATACATTTAAAATTAGCCGTCAATCATGTAAATATGATAACAATAAATGTTACTTCTGCTGAGAACATAAACCCATAATTTTCGATGAGTTATGTGTCAAAAGCTTTTATATTGCTTATGCATAAAGTGTACAAGTTTATTTAAAGTGCTTTAGATCTCATTAAAAATTGTGGACTTGATTTCTCAGTACAGATATAATCATTTAATATATTATAAATATCGATATATCTCATTATTCATAATTGATTTATTAATTGCTAATATAAAATATTTAACTAGTATCCTCCGTATAGTATTTTAAATTACAATAATTCAACAAAAAGTTACGAATTGATTGGTGGTATAGACGGCTTGTTTTTCACGACAATTGCCGAGTATTACAATATAACATACGATGTGATCAATACTAACGGTGTTTTTGGGGTACAACCTGTCAATAATACGTGGTCAGGGGTTATCGGTATGCTTCAGTCAAAGGTATTAGCTAGTTACATTTTTGGTAAATGATTATTCTAATACAATAAATTAAATTGATTATGTTCCAAATAAATTAACACTGTATATATCTAAGTTAATTTATAAAATATTAAACATAAATGAATTTTACGATATATGTAAGATAATTAATTTAATGTGAAATATTTGTTAAAAATGTTTACTATTTAAATATTAACTATTCCATTGTAATTATTATAATTACTGGTATTAATGTTAATTTTAATTTTATTTATTTTAACTTTGCATGTGTTTTAGAGTGCAGATATCGCAACTTGTTTATCAATGACAAATGACAGGCAAAATGTCATTGATTACACCTATCCATGTTATAGTGAATATTTTACATTCACTTCTCCTATGCCTACGATAACACATTTTGACAATTTATTACAACCTTTCGATACATACATCTGGAAATTAATTATAATCACATTATTAATATTAGGACTAATAATTTGTAATACAAATAATAAGACGGCTAGAACATTTAATTTATGTTGGTATATATTATCTATATTGTTGCGACAAAATGGCACCACACGTATAACTCAAATAAATAAATTATTAATGTGTACCTGCATCATAATGTCGGTTATATTAGGCGCATGCTATACAGGATCTATTTATGCATTAATTCGTGTTCCCATTGAACACAGAATCGAAACATTAGACCAATTGATTGAAAATGAAATGAATGGTAATATTAAAATAGTTGTTGATAATGGGTCCATTTACCAATATGTGATAGTAAGTTAAATAAAATAAAATTTTATTTATAGAAAATTTTGATTACAACAATTTACAGAATACTGTACCAAAATTCCATTATTTCTAAAGTATTTTTATTCTGTTTATAATAGATTGTAATCCTAGGTATTTTTAATTGTTGATGTTGATTTGACCTTCGTTGATTTGACCTACAATACCTATAATGTTAAAATCTTAACCAATCTATAGCGGTTCCGACCATCATATCATTGCATGTGATATATGGTTGGAATCAGCTCAATGTGTAGATTAAGAAATTATCTTCTTGAGTTGAATTAAATAGAATTATATTCTTTGACCATGGAGGAATATTAGCTGATCCAGATTAAGAAGTGAATTTCTTAACCTACTCACTGAGCTCATTACAACCATATATCACATGCAATGATTCTATGGTCGAAACAATTTATATTTTTATATTTTAGGTAGTGTAGGTAAAATCAACGTAGGTAAAATCATAGAAAACCATTTTTAATTGAATCATTTTTAACAGTTATTTTTTTTAAAAATTACACTACTAGAATTATTAAAAGTAATTTAATGAAATAAATTACTAGTAGGTGATTTGAACTTAACACAATGCTCTACTAATAATATATGTTTTACAATCACACAGGATAAAATTAACGAACGATATGGATATAGATTTATAAATTACCATGGTGTTGACGAGAAATCATTATTTTATTATTTAAAACGTACTGATTATAAATACTCTGTAATTGGTCCAAGCGACTACCTTATTTATAACATATTTAAGCACAAAATAATTGGACATTACGTATCAAATAATGTGAATGATGCAAAATTAGCATGGAGCCTTGAAGCTATGGGATTAGTTAAAAATTCACCCTATTTGAATAGTTTTAACAAAATGTATGCTATAATATTTAATTAACTACTGTAAATTAAACATTTTATTATATATCAGCTTATCCCGGATACGCGAGGCAAACCTTATGGAATACTGGATGAGAAATTTATATTTAAAAAGTAATATGGTCCAGGTTCATCAAGATAATATTTATGTTTATTTTGCTTTATCGTACAAGAATTTAAAAAGTATTTTCCATATCTGGATATATGGAGGGATTATTATGTCTTTAGTTTTAATAATGGAAATATTATTTTGTGCATCATATAAATATGCAAATTATTAATTATTTTGTTATAACAAAAATTTATAATTAATATATAAAATAATATAAAGGATTTTGTGATTTATATATGCACAAATAGTATTGATTTTACTAACAAGTTTCTAAGATTATTTGTTTTAAATTTACTTGTCCAAATAAATAAAATTAATTTATATAAATCTATCTGAGAATATTACAAAGTTATCAATGTAACATAATAAATAATCTGAAGTAATTCATAATTGTAAAGTATCTGAAATAATTAAATATAATATCCATAGAGATTTTATATAGTTCACCATACTTATATACCACTGTTGGTCAACTCAGATTTCAATGTAGAAAAAAAGGTTTCGATACTTCCAGAAATTGTTGACAGTATTTCGGGAATATAGGAAATTCCGTGAAAAGTTAAAATATGATAAAATTCTTAAATATAAAACAATTTTCTGGTCAGTTAGCATTACCCAAACACACCACGTGGAGGTTGACCAGAACGTGTATCACATTTTTTTTGTTATGAAGGTTGTTCTTTCAGTCATTCCAAAATTTAAAATTCAATAATTTTTAAAAGGCTATAATAAATTTCTGTATAACAATCAAATTAAGGTTACAAAAAAGAAATTAGCATTAGAAAGAGTAGACAAGAGCTATATTTAACTATCTAAATGTAAGGCCATCTAATTTAAGTAAATTATAATCAAGTAAATTTCAGTTTAATTAATATTATTTAGTAAATTTTAATTAAGTGTATTTGTGGCCAAATATTCAAAACAGTCTCGTCGAGTGTAACATTTAGATAGTTAAATATAGATCTTGTCTACTCTTTCTAATGTTAATTTCTTTTTCTTCACCTTAATTTGATTGTTATACAGAAATTTATTATAGCCTTTTTAAAAATTATTGAATTTTAAATTTGGAATGACTGAAAGAACAACCTCCATAACAAAAAAAGTGTGACACATGTTCTGGTCGACCTCCACGTGGTGTGTTTTGGGTAATGCTAACTGACCAGAAAATTGTTTTATATTTAAGAATTTTATTATATTTTAACTTTATATTCAAACATTATTATTTTTTTTTCACGGAATTTCCTATATTCCCGAAATACTGTCAACAATTTCTGGAAATATCGAAACCTTTTTTTCTACATTAAAATCTGAGTTGACCAACAGTGTTATATACAGTAGTATTAACAAAATGTAGGTAGGTGTAAATTTTAGTAAATACTGTAAACTAATTATTATTTTTGCATTAGTTTATCTCGATTAAGTGAGGCAAACCTTATGGATAACTGGTCGAGAAAATATTTGAAAAGTAACATGATACTTTTTAATCAAAATACGAATAATTATTATTTTGCATTGTCCTATAATTATTTAAAATGAATTTTTAATATTTAGATTAATGGTGCGATTGTCACGTTTATTATATTTATTATTGAAATTTTGTACTGCTTAATTTTTCATTGTGGCAATTGTTAATTATTGTTATATTGAAAATAACATTCAAATAATAAATATTATATATTGTATAATTAATTATATAATATTGTATATATTTCCTCACTGTAAACATTTTTAAGAACTTACAATAATTGTTTGTTTATAAATGATAAAAGTGTATTTATTATCTTCATGTACTGAAATTATTTTTAATATGATAGATAATTTAAATAGTTTTGCATAAATAAAGTTATGTCGCTTACAAAATGCAAATCATTATAATAAAAGGAAACGTATATTAAGTTAAAAGTTTTCATTTATTTCTTGGAAACTAGTCAAACAATTATTATGTTTTTGCCGGAAATGATAATAACTTATTATAGAAAAGAGTTAATTAAAACACGAATACTTACAAAACTATTTAAAATAAACATTATAATAAATTAGAGCAAAATTGTTTAATAAATAAAAATGTCTTTATTTAGTAATATAAATATTTTTCTTATATTGTATTTAAATGTGTTTTATTCATATAACTGTCAATACATTCACAGTCGGTGTGGATATCCAGGTCTACCCCACGACACACGTATTGATCCCAAAAAGACTGATTACCAGGACGGGGATGAAGTCACGTATAGCTGTCCTTACGATAAGCTCTACTCCAAGACACAGACCATGAGGTGTATGTCCGGTGTATGGGTGGGCACGAGATCCACGTGCGGCCACTATATTAAGAATCAGTTAATTGGT